AGAAAACTTGAAAAAATAAAACCTTTCAGGGAAAATGGAAAATGGACAAAAATCTTGAAAAGTTTCCAAACAAAAAGTATTTTTTCGGAAAAATAAAATTCCTAGCCAGGTGCTATAGGGCTGGAGGAGGTCGAGAAATTTGTCAAATTGAACTCTACGTTCACGGTGTTTTATTTTCCCTGTTCCAGGTCGCACTCGCTGCGATGGCAGCGGCGGTGGTAGCGCAGGACAGCGGCCTCTACCAGCAGGGGCTGCAGTTCCAGCCCGCGCCGCAGGACCAGCCCGGCCTGCAGCCCGGCCTGCCGCTGGGGCTGTCGCTGCTGCCGTTCGGCCAGGGCAACCCCTTCCTGCTCGGGGCGCAGCAGGGCGGCTTCCAGCTGCAGGACCAGCAGCTCGGCCTGCAGCAGCAGGACCCGCAGCTGCAGGACGCGCAGCGCACGGGGCCCATCTCCTTCGGGCCCGAGCACGCGCGCCCGGCCACCACCACGCCCAACCCCTTCAGGCAGGGCCCGCTGTCGCAGGCCGCGCTGCAGCAGCAGCACGCGCTCGCGCAGCTGCAGGCGCAGCAGCAGGCGTTCGCCGCGCCGACCAGCCCCAGCGCGCGCTACGCCTCGCTGCCCCAGCAGCAGCAGCAGCCACAGCCCCAGCAGCTGCAGCACCTGCAGCAGCCGCAGTTGCAGCAGTTCCAACAGCTGCAGCAGCCCCCCTCGGGCCCCGCCGGGTTCGACGGATTCGGGGGCTTCGTGCCCTCGGCGCCGGGCGACGCCTTCGGCCAGCTCGGCCCTGCCCCCGGGCAGGATGCCTCCCAGTACGGCTTTAACCAATAGTCCCGGGCCGACTCCACCTGCTTCTGCTGTGATATTTATGTTATGACAATACGTTTGTATTTTTGTTGACGCGCTTTCTGTGCTTTGTTCGTTATAAACTTTTGTTCGTGTTACCATTTGTAAAACCTTGCTTTCTTTGAGACGTGGTTCTTTTATTGCCCCGTACACACACACACACAAGCGTGGAGCGAGGAGTAGGGCGTGGCGTGTGGTGTTGTAGCGATCCGGATCGCCAGCGTATCGCCGCTCGCTCCCTCCCTAACCGCTAAACCCCCGCTGAAAGCGCGCTAACCGCGAGCGCGTGGTCCATGTGCAGCCGCCGCCATCGGCATCACGTAGAGATGTTTCGCCCTGGAGGGGGGGGGGGAGGGGCGCGACGGGCTGTTCGGGGGCAGCTGCTCCTCGATCAGGAAGTGCTGCAGTGCGGGCCGGCCGCCGCCAGGTAGCCCAGCAGACTGCCCTGTACGTTCCGTACGTGTTGCCCCGGGGTGCCAGGAGGCCGGGCCACGAGCGGCGGTGCATGCATGCGAGTCCGCCGCCTATGCCTTCGCCTTTCTCTCTTTCTCTGTCGCTCTCTGACTCATGGCAGCTCACGGGGGGCAGCGAGGAGGGCGCCCACCACAGCCACGCCAGGCCACGACACGGCACTAACTACCCCGCTCAGCTCATGGCAGGCAGCGCATGAACTTGACGGGGCAGCCGGACGTGCGCGGACTGGGGGCGCCCGTCTAATGAGGAGCCTGTCCAGCAGCCGCCCCGCCACGGCACTAACTACCCCGCTCAGCTCAAGGCAGGCAGCGGCAGGCAGCGCATGAACTTGACGGGGC